CACAAAATGCTTTTGCAGGTACCATGTATTTAACCAAAACCAAAGGAAAATAACAAGGAAAGAAAAGGGAAAACTTAAATAAGCACTCCCGCTGCAGCGATGCAATTAATCAAAAAACCCAATTGGGGTGTATAAAGACAATTAAATAATCCTATACCTTTTATCAAGCAATATAGATTCTCAAATCAACAAAAAATGTTCCCCCACAAATAACACACATCAACATCAAAAACACTGATCCACTCTGAAAAGGAGAAAGTCAATGAATTTTATCTATGAATTTTATTTATGAAGTGTCCATTAGAGATATCCAAGCACTATTGTCCATAAACGGGGGAATGGTGTGTATGAATGTGGAAATCAGTGTGATTGGATAATCTTTGATAACTTCCTACCAGACCAGTGGAAGTGAAAGCTTCAATGCAGAACCACTCCTGCTCCAAGCTGGCCATTCTTTTTTAAACCCAAAAAGGGTCACCTGGCCTGCATCAAATAAACATGGCCAATAAGAAAATCACAAGAATATGAAAATATCAGCCAGTTGAGCTAAATACATTAAGTTATTCTTGTTCCTGTGTACACAATTTATACATAGATAAATAAATTATTAAATAAACAGCATATTTTATCAATAAGAATTTAACAAAAAAAAGTTCAACTGATATATACAGATTGTATAGCTTCAAAACATTTGTTATCCAACAAATATTAGTCAACTCAAAACAATCCAATTAGCGTCAGCTGCTAGCACCACAACAGTTCCACAAAAGTTCAAACTCACCAATTCCGTTAGGTTCGGTGTATGACAACACTATGCGGCTCTTGCTCACAGTAGTCGGTGTCTAAGTCACATAAGGTTATAGTGGTTGTTAAAAAAATGCATTAGAACTGGAAAGCAAGTGTTTGCCAATACGAACCTCCAGTAACAGCTCTGTCAACTTCCTTGCCTCCACGCATCTGACCGGAGGAAGCCGGGACACGCTTATGAGCAAAAAATTAAAAAACAAAACAAAAAAACGCCCTTTTGTGTTGGTGGAAAAATGTACCATGTCGACCAATCAAAAAATGATATGGCAACATGACATTTGGAAGTTTTAGGAGTGACGGCGAGAGAGAGAGAAAGAGAGAGTGAGTACATACATATTGAATGCAGAACACCTGATTGTTATATAAATAGTTTGAAATGGTTATAAAAAAAGAGGGTAAAATGTAAATAGCTGCAAATAACTTTGTTGTTTGAAAAGATTTGTGCATATAACTTTAAAATTGACAATTTATATTTGCATTTAAAGTTATGAAATATGATTCTATAAACATGTTTGCGATTGTTAAAAAATATAACTTTTTCATTTCGGATTTTATGTTTTTTGTCTGATTTAGATCAATTTTATGTCAAAATGAAAGCATAACTGTAAATTCAGAAACGTGAGGTTGTGCTGAAAAGAATGATACCAAACAAGGCAAAGTACATAGTTTTTTAAAGGTTAAATGTAGAGGTAAAATCAAAAGTGGTTAAAAATGGCCAATTATACACTGGAGCCCAGAGGGTTAAACTTTTTTTTTTAAAGTAACGCAATAGTTATTTTTCAAGTAATTAATTACTTTTAGAATCTTGTAACTCAGTTACTAACTCAGTTACTTTTTTGAAGAAGTAACTAGTAACTATAATTAATTACTTTTTCAAAGTAACTTGCCCAACACTGATTTTAATCCA